TAATCAATGTCTTTTCTCTAATCAAAGCTGTCAATTTCACCATCTCAGCCAGCTCCATCAATTTCATCATCCATTCTTCCACTGTGGGTGATGTCAGATCTTTCCACTGTTGTGCATATAAACTATTTTTAAAGATGCACAGGGTGTCAAATCTACTGACATGCCCCACTTTAAACTTGGTCACTTTGAAATCAAAAGATCAGTTTGCAGAAGCCAAGAAGATAGTATACAAACAGTTTTCAGTTGAAGCCTTAACTTCATCTGAAAAAATCATCTATGGTAACCATTTATAAGCTTCCAACTGAGGACCATATGAAGGTTCCCTAAAGACACATTTTCTAATTTTCAAAAAATAAATTTAGGTAAATATAAATGGCTTTGTTATATGAGTTCAGTGCTTCCCCACCCCAAAAATCTGTATTATCTTTCTATTACACGAGCCACGGAAAATTAAGCCTATAACCATGGGGGGGGGGGAGGGAATCTGTTACAATTCAAAGAGCACTCTTGAACATATTCCACAGAGACAGAAAAGCTAAAACAAATACTATCATTTATTACTTGCTATCAACAGTTGTATTAACATTTGATTTGTGATGAAAAACAGTATTTACATTTTTATATTATTCATTGCAAAGTGTTCTTATTAAGTATAGTTCTAAATATTCCTTTTCTGATCCTTAAGCATGCTTCACTGCAGGTATCATGGCCCATAAATGTAAAGAACACTGGTTTGATTTTTACTTTTTGGTATGCAGCATGCAAGTTTGTTGCTATAATTTGAAGACTCTCAGGTTTTATTTTTTTAAAAGAAACATATTTTTAGCTGCCATAGTTTATGTTGATAGCAAAATCAACCACCAGAACTATCGTCCTATAACATTTTGAGAATTGGTATCTTGTTAATTGTAATTAGAGGCCCTGGAACCTTCTTGATTTACTTCTAAGCATTACCTATCATTTATTCCTCTTACATTCCAAGTTGCAGTTTTCCATATGCCACCAGATGGATCTGTAGGCTAATTCCCCAGGATTAACTGCATTATTACTGCTATCACTATTTTTATTTTTAATGGAAATTATATTTAATTCAAAATCCTTTGTGAGAAAAGGGACCAGTATCAGAGCTGAACCTGTGATTTGTATAGGAATAACTGATTTTTTTTATTTTGCTATTTCACATCTCCTTCTAAAAAGAAATCCATCATTGACTAGCTGAGAAATGAAATACTTGTTGTGTCTTTCCCTTTTGGAGAACATGTTTAAAATCATGCTAGATATACAATTTAAAGAAAAAATATTCCATTAAAATCATTACTTGGAGGAATAAGGGAAAATAAAAAAGGGTAACTTAGGTTCACATGGTGGCACTGTTGAGCTATGTTTACTGTACAGCTCACAGCATTTTTAACAGCTTTTGATCCAATTTTTTTAGATAGAAGCCCGCAAAACCTAAAGCAAAATATTTTAATAGAGAATTAGGGTCCCCCCCCCCGAAAACTGGAATTTTATATTTAGGGGAACAACTATTGTGGAAGAATGCATCTAGTTCTAATTGGGAAGTAGACCAGTAACTGGAAGAGATGGATCTTTCTAAAATATTTGTTCTCCAAAGCTGGAATTAGTTGAGCTTTTAAACTGTAGTGTCCAAGGGTTTTCATCATCAGTTCTTTTGACTAGACATGATAAATGTCACCTATATTCAGGTGGGACACTCGGAGCCAAGAAGGTCTGGTCTCTAGAACAGGTATTTCTCAGTGGCATCCAGGGGTGTCTTCTGGGTATGGTTAACAAGGTCAAGATGGCAGCTGGAACAACGGAGCTTTGATCATACTGTTGTGACTACTATCTTGACTTTTTCTTTTTTTTAACTATACCCTGTGGACCCCCCTGGTAGCACCTCTTTAATCTTTGAACCTGCACAAATACTCTTTTCTTTCTTTAGATAGTTTGTCTTTCCACTATATTACACTATTATAGATACCTACAGTGGGGCAAAAAAGTATTTAGTCAGCCACCAATTGTGCAAGTTCTCCCACTTAAAAAGATGAGAGAGGCCTGTAATCTCAAGGTTTTCACACACTGTTGCTGGTATACAGGTGTCTTTTATACTGATAACAAGGTCAAACAGGTGCCATTACTACAGGTAACGAGTGGAGGACAGAGGAGCCTCTTAAAGAAGTAGTTACAGGTCTGTGAGACAGGTGTCTTTTATACTGATAACAAGGTCAAACAGGTGCCATTACTACAGGTAACGAGTGGAGGACAGAGGAGCCTCTTAAAGAAGTAGTTACAGGTCTGTGAGACAGGTGTCTTTTATACTGATAACAAGGTCAAACAGGTGCCATTACTACAGGTAACGAGTGGAGGACAGAGGAGCCTCTTAAAGAAGTAGTTACAGGTCTGTGAGACAGGTGTCTTTTATACTGATAACAAGGTCAAACAGGTGCCATTACTACAGGTAACGAGTGGAGGACAGAGGAGCCTCTTAAAGAAGTAGTTACAGGTCTGTGAGACAGGTGTCTTTTATACTGATAACAAGGTCAAACAGGTGCCATTACTACAGGTAACGAGTGGAGGACAGAGGAGCCTCTTAAAGAAGTAGTTACAGGTCTGTGAGACAGGTGTCTTTTATACTGATAACAAGGTCAAACAGGTGCCATTACTACAGGTAACGAGTGGAGGACAGAGGAGCCTCTTAAAGAAGTAGTTACAGGTCTGTGAGACAGGTGTCTTTTATACTGATAACAAGGTCAAACAGGTGCCATTACTACAGGTAACGAGTGGAGGACAGAGGAGCCTCTTAAAGAAGTAGTTACAGGTCTGTGAGACAGGTGTCTTTTATACTGATAACAAGGTCAAACAGGTGCCATTACTACAGGTAACGAGTGGAGGACAGAGGAGCCTCTTAAAGAAGTAGTTACAGGTCTGTGAGACAGGTGTCTTTTATACTGATAACAAGGTCAAACAGGTGCCATTACTACAGGTAACGAGTGGAGGACAGAGGAGCCTCTTAAAGAAGTAGTTACAGGTCTGTGAGTTACAGGCCTCTCTCATCTTTTTAAGTGGGAGAACTTGCACAATTGGTGGCTGACTAAATACTTTTTTGCCCCACTGTATCATGGTGCAGGAGAGAAGTCTTCGCTATGTTGTTTATAAGACATCCCACAGATGTGAAAACCTGACCTAAATCCAGTTATTGACAGCATCTTTAGCATACTTAGCTCAGGCACACTGGCGTTGGCTCAACGAGTACAAAGTTTCCTTCCTTTGTTGGATTTAGCTTTCAGTTTAGAACATTTTGAATGTCCAAACTTGAACTGACATCAATACAACCAAAGATATTTCATTACAGCAATAAAAAATAAATGGCCAAGATGATGGACAGGTTCATATACTCACCTCGTGATATATTCTTTTAATACCTTGGAGGAATATTTTTCTCTCTCTCTGCCATTATCATTAGGAAGGTGTGATATACTATTCTAATTTCCCCAGTTCTTCCCCCAGGTTAAAAAGGAGTGAATTAGTAAGAATTGTACTTAACTACTGTAAGGTCTCTCCAGTATTGTCAAATGCACAATATTGTACACTTCCCAGAGTCATGTATGTAAGGTTGGCAGTTATATAAATGTGATGAATAAATAAATAACTTTGTACTGTCGTCTTATGTACATACTTCCTCCTTCCCAGTGTAAAGAGGATCAACAGCTGGACAGAGCCATGGAATTTGATAGGGCAGCCATAAAATATTGTTTGGATTTTCTACATTTTAAAAGAAATCTTTCAAAAGGAAAGGACTTAACCAATGCTGTACATTATAAATAAGCAAGGAAATGGATTTATTCTGGTAGTTTGGCTTCTTGCCTTTTAGCCCTCACGGCAGAGGTTTTATATTTATTGGTACTCTTCAGCAGAGGGGACAGAACTGCATAAATAAAACAGTTTCCATACTAAAATGAGGGTTGCAAAGCCCCTATGCAATTACTGGGTCAGGATGCTCCATTTGGTGATGGTATAGAATTATAATGAACTACAAGATTGGTGATGCCTGTCAGAAAAAGAAGCAAGCAGGCTAACTCGTTGCCCCTGCTATAGAAATAACACTAAAAGTATAAATTAATCACTTTTCATGTTAACTCACCAAATTATTCCTCCTGTTATTTAAATGAGTATAAAGTGTCTGCCTCTTTATTTTCAAGACATGTATTTTAACTCGAATGATCTTTGTACCATGCGTTATCATTTTGATATATGTGTGTATTTTCCTTTAAAATACTGGTGCATCCAGAATTTTGTCATGTTTAAGTAAAACATCCCTTCAGTCTTGATGTGAGCATCTTTTGTTTGCATGCTGCAAAATTGCCAAATGAATGTACAATTCTTTGTCGCTGTATGTATCATATACTGAATCAAAGGGATTAATAATAGAATATCACTAACAGGACTGCACACTCCATCAGCACTACAACTGTTTTTTATTGATGAAGTGCCTTA